TAATTTTTTCCTGACTGAATGTAGAAACTGCTCCTAACAGATACCCGTATGCACGGAACGGAAATCAGGTGCTCACTTTACAATATATCGATCGTAATGCATAAAAAGATGTGCAGATTAGCAAATGACAAACACGTGACACAGCACACCACAATCCACCAGACAGATACACCTGGATGCTACTTCACACATGCACCATAAGTATCTGTCTATCTAAGACAGGTAAACTTGGTGCGCACAAGAACAATCAATAGCGTTTCGCGGAAAGATGGTGTGGACCAATCGACGACGAGCCGAGAACGAAGCGACAAAGCACACAATCAAAATGGGTGCCGTCCGGATCAATGATTTTGAAGTCTCATTTTACTTGGCTAGCTNGCTAGACATTGACGAATGATTTTTCTCACTTTCTACAGATGTTCCGGCTGGATGTGTCCGAAAAAAAACGACGATGGGAATTTACGAAACCAGGTCATGAGTTCTGGCAATCTGTAACGGTCCTAAGGATCTGTTCTCTTGTGAAGACCGGAGATCTTAGCCTTGGAGCCACATTAGGCTACAATGGATTAGATGTGATACCAAATGAGACAACGACAATAATAAAGATGTGGTTTGAACCCCGAATCCAAAGGATCAATGTCAGATAGTAAAAACAGTTACAAAAAATGATGGAGGGGAACTATTCACCTGACTAGTCAACTGAGAAATATGAGGGCAACGGGAACACGCGGGATAGACGCTGTGGTTAGCACATCCTAAGAGACAAGCAAACCGCGATGGTAAACTTTTTCTTTTGGTAAAAGAATGATATCATGATTATTGTATTTCCATCTATATGAGCACAAACACTCGCGATTTGGGCAGAGAAAACGTTTTGTACTAGGTATTGTACTCTGGTGGTGAATTTCACTATCCGTTCAAATCACGCTATTCTTCTAGATCGAGTAGTGATTCCTGATTAGCCGTTTGGATACAAATTTGCATTTGTCACACCTTCACTCATAACCCAGTATTCAACGGTTGATCAAATGTCGTCATGCGTCGATGACCATCCATCTTTCCCCTGAAATTTGAGATCATTGGTTATGACACTATGACTGTTGTGCATAACCGATTACCTGCCAATACGCAGTAGCATACAACTTGCCCAAAAAGGATACTCAGTACATTACTTATTGTCATCTTGTTCCGCTTAATTTCACTAACTTGGCTTTAGGTTAAGTGATTTGGAACTCATTCAAAACAACAGCGTGGCAAACAAGCTCGTTTTCAGTTATTCATAATCATGCCATTACATAACATTAAATATGACTAACGATAAGAAACGAAACAGGGGGTGGGAAATTCGAGTCCTAATGATTCAGCTGTGGTTCCAATCATGCGTGCGTGTGTTTGTGTGAAAATTGATCACAGTGTCAAAGGTTCAAGTGATTGCACACGTGTTGAAATGGCCGAAGTGGGGTAGGGGAGATTAAGTGCTTGCACAAATTTCTTCTGGGCGCACAACGGAGGTTTGTGAATCCAAATACTTACGGCTTCGGCCGTGGCTAAGATACGATGCTTCACTGTTTTTGATTGCCTGCATCGAACCTTTTAAATCGGTCGGAACGCGTCTGCCACATTTACCGAGTGATCTGACTCAACGAGATGTGAACACACCGCGCTCGTAATTGTCTTAATTGTTCCAGTCCTCAGCCAAGCCGGGTGGTGTTCGCGAACGCGATCGGATAAGCGCCTGGTCGTGCGGCCGATGTACCCAGTCCCACAGGAACAGGTGAATGAATACACACAAAATGAGGCTGCAGAATCTGGCACTCTATCCTTCAGTCGGAAACACAAAATCGGTTTAGATGTGAACATAGCTTTGAGTTGTGTAGCGTAAAATGCTCTCCTTACTGCACTTGTTAGCTTTCTTTGAAAGACTTCTGCCTCTGTATCTCCCTTGAACGGCAGATGCACATAGACCAACTTCTTCGCTGCTCCTATTTCCTTTGGTCGTTCCTCGTGTTCTAGCATTGCCCTATCGATAAATCGTTCGGGATAGCCATTTCGAGCAAAAACAGTGCGTAGGAACTGAAGTTCATTGTCAATAGTGTCCATCGTACATATTTTCTTCGCTCTTTGAACCAGAGAGCGAATTAGGTTTCTCTTCCTCTGAAGAGGGACAAAACTATGGAAATGGATATATTATCCATTCCATGCTTCTTTTCTATGCACCGATAACTGAACAGAGCTATCACTGCGGCGTCATATGAGTATGTCTGGAAAGGCTATCCTCTTCTTTTTCCAGAGTAAACTTTATGTTGGGATGTACATTATTAAACTCCTCAAGCAATCGATTAATGTCCACATTGGCGTCCAATATACACAACACACACACGCATGATTGGAGCCACAGCTGAAACATTAGGACTCGAATTTCCCATCCCCTATTTCGTTTCTTATCGTTAGTCATATTTAATGTTATGTAATGGCATGATTATGAATAACTGAAAACGAGCTTGTTCGCCACGCTGTTGTTTTGAATGTGTTCTCTGGGATTAATGAAACGACTGATTTGGAACTATCGAAAAACCAGTTCATTGTGATGAACAATATAAGGGCGAGCACTGTAACTACGAGAGTCCATTATGTAATTAGGGGAACCGAGCTTGAAGTAAAGAACCAAATAAACTTTTGAAAAGATATGCATGGTGTTGAATTGAAAAATGGTAAGGCTGACAAAGGTACAGAACTTGAATAACATATACATAGGGAAAATGAGCAGATACATTGGTATCACCGCATACGGCATTCAGCTATCTGGTGGTTTTATGAATAATATGCAGTGGAGAAGCGCAAATGATTGAGTTGTACTAAACCGGCATCAATAAGATGATTCGTAAAGCCTTCGAGTTATTTC